ACACACCTAGGCAAGAATGGCGGTGAGGGTGGCTGAAAAAAACATGTTAAAAAATAAACAAAGAAATTGGTGTTTTAATTGCAGAAGGTGGTGGGAGGGAATTGGATGATTAGATGGGTGGAATTGCAGGGAACAAAAGTATATCAGGCGAGTGAAGGTCCGCTTTAACTGTGAACAACTGGAGACCCCAAATATCCAAAATAAGTTGCATTCTACTGTATGCATACTTTTGAAATATATTGAGTATATGACATGATATATTGTTATGTACTTTACATAATAATATAAATGAACCTCAGATTTGCTTTAGCACACAGTCGTAAACAGTTTAAAAAGTTCGAACCCTTTAATGAATAATGGTGAAGTTGTTTTCAGTGACTCTAATTAGGTCATAGCAAAGGCCAAACCCAGAGAAGTAAGCAATGTCCAGGTTGACAAGTATTATGATTTATAGCGTTAGCGTCACCGTGAGATGTCACATGACACAGGTGTGTCAGAAGGAACATTCAGCGTAGTGCTCAGCTTTTTGCTATAGCCCTTGCAGTGCAGGTGGGCTTGGTGGTTTCTTGTTCATAATGTTTCCGGTTGTTCTGAAATGTTCAACAAACCTGAGGACCGTGTTGCGACTGGGAACAGCTCTCAGTCGCAACACATGTTATTGTAGGTAATTTCCAGAAGCATAAGTAGTACTCATTGCCCCTTGGTCATATTCATTTGTATACCACTGATAAAATTATCCCTGTACGCTATACCATCCCCAGAGTCCCATCATTTTAAATGAAAGCTCTGTGAAAGGTGAGTGTGTCTGATCTTAGAAATGCGTTGGCTGCGTTGTATGTTTTTTGCCATGATCCCATTTTATCATTAAAAGATTTTGTACTCTTTGATTTGCCGTTCTTATTAGACTGTTCATATGAGGATTCGCAATTTAGGGCTTCCCCCATTCTTAAGGGCACCCGGATTTTTGAAGAACTGTTGAACTAAAACTATTGTACCCAGTGAAAACTTAACGTACCTACTGAACACTTCAACCCACCACCTCCTTTTCACCTTTCCTTATACACAAAATAACAAAAGGCATAGTAATGGGCAGCGGTCGCCAACCGGTGGTCCGCAAGAACATTTTGGTGGTCTGCAATTGCCCCCCTGGTCCCCTATGATGCTGTCATTGAAGCAGCACGGAGACTCCGGGGCTGCATCTCACTGACTCAAGCAGCAGCAAGGTACAGTGCGGGCTCTGCAGGAGGCGGAGCATGTCGTCAGTACCCGAACTGAGCAGGCTGCGAGACATAGAAAAAGTGGAAGAAGCCAGGTAATAGTGGCTCAGTGTGGGGGAAGGGGAGGCACGGGTGTGGTTGGGGGCAGTGCTGAAGCTAGGGGGGGCATGTGCCCCAGACACCGCCGGCAGGGCCAGCGGCAGATTCGATAGGGGAGGAAACAATTAATATAATTATTGGGCCAGGGCGGGTGGCACAGCTCCCTCCCTCCACCGGCACTGCCACTCCTGCATACACACACACCTATGTATGTATGTATGTATGTATGTGTATATAAATATATATATATACTGTATGTATATATAGATATATTCTCATATTTTTTGTTTCCTCATATATAAATATATAGAGACCCTCTTGAACATTTAACGAATTCGGCTGTTTTGCTGATACTCGCTCCATGGCTCCGAGAGCCAGCGAACATCATACGTTCAAAGGCTGTTAAATCGCGTTGCTTACCCTTATCTTCAGAAAAAATCACTTCTACTGTCGTGGTAAACAACCTGCTTCCCTATTTATAATGGTCTGGCCCTCTAGCAACTTGAGCGCCAAATTATAGCTAATTTGCCTACAAACGTCAGGTGGTCATAATAATCTGGCCACTCAGTGTATATGTATATATATATATATATATTTAAATTCATATTAGTGGTCCGCAGGATTTAATATTATGAATTTAGTGATCCATGAGGTCCGAAAGGTTGGCGACCGCTGGTGTAGAGGAAAGGCATTTACTGCACATGCCTGTCTGGACCATTTTTTTGTGCACATCAAAGAGGAAACGTGACAGTGGCTGTTTTGTATCAAACGACAATGTGAAAGAAAAGCACCCTATAGTTTCTACACTGTATGTGGTGGCAGCAAAAGCAGGAGTGCATTGGATTACTTTTAATGTGAGCATAACTGGGGCAGAGGGGTGCTTTTAATGGACAAAGTGCTGGATTGTGAATTAAAGCACCACACTATGCTTAATTATCCAGATACATCTTTATTCAATATAGGGTTGAGGAGACAGTATAGAAATATCCAATGCATTTCAGTACATTGGGTCGCTTTGTATGCATTGGAAATATTACAATGCATACACATACCCCCTTCATCAGGGCTTACTAAGGGAGAACATGTATCAGGACTGTAATGGCTTAAAATGTTATACCATTTTGTTCAGTTTGTGAGAATGCATAGAGCTCTCCAGCAGCTGGTTTGGAAGGCTGTATTTGTACCCCCGAAACAAATTGGCAATTTCTATATTGTCCCCTCAACCCTATATTGCATAAAGATGTATCTGGACTATTAAACAGAGTGTGGCATTTCAATTCACAATCCTGCAGTTGAACACTACAAACCAAGGAGACAGTGGAGGTCCTCTGGGAGAAGCTGCCTGTCCGGTAGTCAGTTCACCTATACCTTCTGTTCGCACCATAATAGGCCAGTCACACCAATAGGACAAACCTAGCCGGTCCAGCAGTTTTATTCTAGTTCTTTCCAGTACCTTAATGAGTTTCACAGGAAATCCTGAATTCTCCACAATTTGGCATTAGTACCAAGAGGTTCAAAAATAAAAGTATCTTCAAAGAAAAAGTAACCATGAAACAAAACAAAAAAAGGTAAAAACCTTTACAATTTCTATGATCTAGGTTTTAAAGCAGACCTTCACACATAAATGCAACTGTAGTGCTCACCCCCTAAAGAGCCGCTGGATTGAATGCGTCTTCCATAGCCTGTCTAGGGATTTTAAGCAACGTGGCTGCCCAAATAGTACTTACCACCCTCTGGGGCGAATGACGAAGCAAAGTCCAGACTGGAGATAAATGCTGAGAGAGTTTATTACTGAACATTGGGGAGAGAGGTTCAGGGTCAGGACCATGCAGGCTTATGTAGGCTCCATCAGTAGAACACAGTAACTGCTGCCATTCACAGACTAGGATCTTTAAGCCAGGCATGGTAATCTGTGTAAAGAACACCTGGCAAAGCAGTATTTAGATCAGAAGTCATCAATCATGTTCAACTTCAGTATCAGTAGCAGCCACTGGACCTCCAGACTCAGGCCTCAGTATAAGCACATGACTAGTCCCCAGGCTTCAGGCCTAGCCATCTCAGGCAGTCCATAGCAGCCCATAGCAGCCTCCCCCCAGACAGGGCCCAGGGCAGGAAGAGAAACTCACATGGTCCACCCCAAGTATTTATCTAATCTCCCAGCATGCACCACTGGCCATTAACCTCACAGTGATTGGCTAGAAAGGGATACCTACTCGTAACAATCTCTCATTGGTAGCTCTACATCTGTCTGCTGCTGTGTGTACCCTGGCCACAGAGCAAACAATGACAGATTGATTAGGGGAAAATAAATGAGCACACACTATAGATCAGCATCAGACTGAATACAATCTGACAATACTAAATTTACTAAGCACTCCTGCTTATAGGGTGCTACACATCTTACCCTCCTTCTAATCCCTCCCCTTCCTAAAACAGAATCACATATCATTTTTTGGGGGAAGAGGGCACACAACCATTTTCTGTATGTTCTTGCTCTCATTTCCATCTTCATTTCCATAGCCCTCAGCCCACCTGCACCCTCTTAGAATCACATCACACATGCCAGGAGTCTTGTCTTCCTGCAGTCTGGATCTCACTCAGGGGCTCGATTTGAATGATCAGGAAGTGATCTGTGTCAAAATGGCAGCATGGAAGATCACAAGACCTGAGAAGGCATTGGTGCTGGAAACACTGACCTTCATGGGCTGGAAAGTATGTGTTTTGTAAAAGACGGTAGATACAGTACTTGTAGTTGAACTTCACTTTTCCAGTGGCCAGGTCAAGTTCCTCTTTAAGGCAGAAAAGATTCCCTGTCTAAATGCATGCATTGACTTGCAAATGCGCAGCTCAGTTGACAATCTCAGCTTCTATAAGATGCTGGGACTAAGATCCAGGCTCTGGGTTGAAGTATCTTCCATGTGCATTTGCAAGAGTTAAGTCATCTAAGGCCAACCAATAGAGAAGAAAGAAAACTTTGGACATGGAAGAAGATCGGGAGAAGATGGCATCAGCAAAATGACAATAATCTGCAAGAATGCTGTGGCGAGAGCTCCGTGGGACCAAACTGAGCAAGGTCCTGCTTTAAGAGTCCCTTGCCTAAACTGTTTTATATTTTCTACTTACCTTTCAGACGTGCATACAGTTAGCCAGGCACTGTGTCAATGTGCCAAATATGTATGTAAATCCAATTATTTTATTCTGCATTGGTCATAATACTTAAAATTCATAATGCATCGTATTTATAGAAAATAAAACTGTTTATGTGATCTAATTGTTACTATATTTTCCAAATAAATATATAATATTCATCAAATAATTATTCATTAGAGAACATTGTGTCTGAACCATCCATTTAGCTCTATGGCTAAGACTTTTATTGTGGATATATTTGGCTTTAAAGATTTAATGACTACAATAACTTGTCAGTCAAATATTCAGGGTGCGACCCAATGTACTGTATGATTACATAACAATGGTCTTTTCATTAATGACTGTACAGCCATTTTCCCACCCTAACGGAAGCCAGTTAAAAGTCCATAAAATGACATTCATTCAATGACGCTTTTAAGGCTGTATAAAAGTTACCCACCAACAAGGATTAGCTGTACTTCTAAGCTCAGGAAGCAGTGGACAGTAACTACTCAGTGCCACCAAGTGTGAAACAATCTTGCTTTTCTTGCCACCATGAACCAAACTGTCAAGCAAGTTAAATCTGGATCCACCCAAGGAAGAAGCCAAGCATCCAGTTACAACCAAACTGTCCGTCGAACAGGATCCGTTGTTTCCTATCATGGAGGTCGTCATCAAGCCCAGCATGGAGGACACATTAGAGCTCCCAGTGTCCATGGTGGATCTGGTGGAAAAGGCATTAGCATCTCTAGACACTTCTCCCATGGCCACAGCTTTGGATCTGTTCATGGTTCCAGTCACGGAAATCACTTTGTCCACCAAAGCACTCATGGCGTTTTCAAGAATGATGGCCTTTTGTCCTTTAATGAAAAAGAGACAATGCAGCTACTGAATAACCGACTTGCCACATACATGGACACAGTATGCACATTGGAGCAAGAGAACAGTCAGCTGGAGAGGAACATTAGAGAGTGGTATGAGAAGAATGAGCCTAATGGTCTGCCAGACTGCAACAAGTACTACAGGACCATTCAGGAGCTCCAGAGACAAGTAAGTTACTGACAATGTTTATGAGATTTTTTTTTTATTGCTTCTTTGTTGGCATTCACAAAGGGATAATGGTGTATTAGTGGAAGCAGCTATTCATTTATTGCTTGCTGAAAGAACATAAGGCAGAAATTAAGGGTTGGCTCTATTTAGAATAAGTTTTGTCGTACCATCTTTAGTGGTATATATGTTAAAGCAACACATAAAGGGATACTACAATTATATACACAAAGTGTGCCCTGAATTACAAAGAGCTTGTCTACTTAATGTTCTTGTTGTTCATCTTGGCAATACTTCAGTCAATCTGCTGTGTAAAAACTCCCTGGTATAAGGGGGGCACTTCATTTTGAGCCAGAGATTCTGCAGGCTAAGATTTCTCTGCCCATCAAAATCTCTTTGAAATCTGAATATAAATAACCTAATTCAGCAATTCAGCCTTATTATTATTAAATAAACAATATATTATATGGTTTATACCATCCTCCGTAAGTACTACTTTTGCTGGACAGCTTGGCCTGTTACAGGAAGTAAAAAATAATTAATCTACTGGCTGGATTAACAGATGATAAAACTATGGACAGTGCTGTTCTAATGCTAGTTACAGGCTACAAATGTCACTTCTGATTTTTTTCAAGAGTTACACTTTATTTCTTAACACATGTGCTCCATTCACACAACAATTTACAAAAAAAAACGTTGCATGCATAGATAGAGGAAGGACAGAATGAATGTCAATGATCTCTTACAAAAATGTTGCAAACATCCCAAATTTTAGTTGTCACCAGAACAGGAGGAGAGGCAAAATCCTCCAATTAAAACATATGTTCCTGGGGCAACTGTCTAAGGGGGAAAATACCCTCACTTTGCAGAGATTTCCTCTCACTTCCTGTTGCATTATGGCTTTAAAAACTTTGTGTTTGTGTTTTGTTTTTTTATTCATGGTTCTTCCTAACTGTTGTCTTACATTTTTATTAACAAACACCATACAGGTGAAACTCGAATAATTAGAATATCATGCAAAAGTAATTGCAGTGCTGCAAAAGGGGCCCAAACCAAGTACTGAGTACATATGCATGCTTGTATTTTTCAGAGGTCCGATATTGTTCTATGTACAATCCTTGTTTTATTGATTGCATGTAATAATCTACTTTTTTGAGGTTGTGGATTTGGGGTTCTTGGGGTTTTCATGAGCTGTAAGCCATAATCATCACAATTATGACAAATCACGGCTTGAATTATCTTGCTTTGCATGTAATGAGTCTATCTCATATATTAGTTTCACCTTTTAAGTTGCATTAGTGAAATAAATGAACTTTGCACGATATTCTAATTATTCGAGTTTCACCTGTATGTTATGATAACACATTGGTCAAAGTCACAAAAATTGGATATGGTGGCACATAGCACAAAATTATATATAAATCAGATATGAATTTCCCTAATACTAACATTCAGCATGTTCCACAGATCTCTGAAGCCTCCATACAAAATGCTAAGGTGTTTTTGGACATGGACAATGCCAAACTGGCAGCTGATGACTTGTTGAACAAGTAAGTCCATATAAAATCAGCAATAAGTTTATGTAGTATTAGTATATTTATTGTATAAATAATACAAAAGTTATACACTCAGTATATATTTGACCAGACTAAGGCCCTTTTCACATGGGTGCCTGGCAGTTTTGATCGGCAGTGGACCCGTGCACAGATCCCCTGCTAATTGGAGCAGTATGGAACGGATGTCACTGTTGTGGTATCCGTGTCTGCCCAGGTTTTTCCTGCATTGTAACTGAACTTACCTGACACATTTTAGTGTAGGAGGAGTCGGATGTAAGCGGGGTGTTTACATCAGATTACCTTCATCATTATCAAGTCCACCAAAACTGAACTCTGTTCCATTTTGTTTTCCAGACTTGGACGGGTTCTGGGGTGATTGGATGTAAGCGAACGCACATCTCTTTTGATCTGGTTGCCTATAAACTAACATTGGGCTTTTGATCAGATACGACTGAAAAACTAACAGGCGGATCTCTTTGGATACTTTTTAGGCCCTTGTATGAAAGGGGCCTAAAAAGTATCAAGCACATTCCAAAGTAATGTGTTATGAGGTACCTCCTGCTATCTTCGCTATGCTACCCAATGCCCTGGTTCATTTATAATGCCCCCTGAATTTCATATATAAGTATGAACTTTCTTCAGGGCTAAGTACACTCCTCTGCCCTCCACCTTCAAGGGACAGTGCTGTGCTTCAGGTTTAAATACGCTTTAATAATACAAAATGTGATGAATTATATTATACATGTGTTGTTATGATGTGTTATGTTTATTTTTTTAGGCTTCTTGACTTCACTATTTAGTAGCTTTGGGTAGCTAACACTGGCTTGCTGCACATTGTTGTTCACGTATATCTCTTGCAGTAGGTAATTAAGTAAGCTCGTTTTTGCGTCTTCCTTTTCTTCAGGTATGAATTGGAGAGTAACCTGAGAAATAGCATTGAGTCTGATGTCAAGGGTCTCCATAGAGTCCTAGAGAGACTGAACATGGAGATGGGTGACCTTCAAATGTGTGTCTGCAACCTTCAGGAGGAGCTCCAAGAGCTGAGGAAGACTCACGAAGAGGTGAAATATAGCAAGATCCTCTTAGAAGCCAACCAATAATGTCCATTTGTACCAGATTTATTTATTCCTATTTTTTTTTACAGGAAGTCAACTGTCTGCGTACCCAGTTAGGTGCTAGAGTCAGCGTAGAGGTCAATGCTGCTCCATGTAAAGACTTGAACAACACCTTGTCTAAGATTCGACAGGAGTATGAAAACCTAATGGACAGAAACCTTAACGAAGTGGAGGCTATCTTCCTTGCAAGGGTAACTTCATTATTAAGAGATATTAAAGAATATCTCATAGACAAAATATAAAACGAATAATATGATAACTTTTACCCGACTAGAACTATGTGTAACCTAGGATTTGCCATGCTTGGACAAACAACACAACTTAAAGCCCCAGTGCCTCTTTAAGCTCAGAAGCCAAGAACCCTTGCTTCTTTTATTTTTGTGTTTAAAAAAACTAAAAAACTAATGTTGAAGTAGAAATCTCATATATTTTCAATGTCATTTTAAAAAGCTATTTTCAATATTTTTAAATCTGCAGTTTTTGTTAAATTTATACCTGGTGAACCTTTCATGAAGTTCCTCGTTACGGCACTTCCTGTTATTGGGTAATAACATTGTCAGCTTCTCACATTTGTTCTCCTGCACTGTCTAGTCACGTGCACTTCAAGTGGAGATTATATGCACTCATGGTGACAGTTTATGCACGAGCACTCAATGTGCAGGCATGTTCCATTGTTAGCACCATCAGGAAACCTGTACTGAGAAATAACAAACATTGCCAAAATGCATGTTTGTAGACAGGAAGTAGCTGGAGGAGATCAACAGTGTTGAGATGCAACACACATGAAAAAAGGTTAACAACAGTCTTTTTTTAAAGAATAAAAATTTAGTAATTTCTTATGCTACATAGAACTACAAAGTAAATGTCAATTAATTAGGGTTTTCACTCTGCTAGCTGAGAAATTATACTAGCTCAATCTACTAGAGGCAGTATTTAAATAAACAGAGGATTCTAGTGTGCCCGTCTGCCTAATGGTTGTTTCATTTAAAAGTCTACCTTTACTATAATTTTTCTTATATCATTGTAAACACATGTTTACTGGAACCTACAGGCAGCGTGAAAAGCTAATTTAATTCTGGGGTGCATCACTAGAGTGAGGAGGAAGGAGGTCCTCATTCCACTATATAAATCTAGACCTTAATCAGACCTTATATAGGATGCAGTGTCCAGTTCTGGAGACCGCACTTTTCAAAAAGTATTGAAAAGATGAAGCTGGTCCTGACATGAGCAGCAAAAGGTCTGAGGGATAAAATATATATTAGGAAACAGTGAAGGAATGTAATATGTACAGCTTCAAGGAAAGAAGAGAAAGAAAACTTCAACTACATTAAAGGCATGAATTAGGTTCGGGAGGGCAGTATTTGCAATATGAAGCTGAGATCATGAAACCATGATTAGGATCTGACACTAGCAGGAGGAAAGTAGAAAAAAAAAATCTAAAAGAAAGAGACAGATTCAGTAGACCACTTAAGGTGGCCATACACTATTCAAATTGTGACTAGTTCTCGATGAACCGGCTAAAATTCACATAGTGGGTACCACTATTGGCACCTGTCTGGACACTATCCCTTGATCAGGAGATCGAAGGAGCCGGATGGAACATCTTAAGCCTAGCAGAGCTTGCAGCAAATCAGAATACAATAGAAACATTGGTGGATTCCGCCATCCACTCTCGTGAGTGTGAATGGAGGAATCTGTTATATTTTCTTTGCTTAGCCCACAGGTTAAACAAAGAAAATAGAACAGTGTATGGCCAGCTTTAGCCTTTCTCTGTTGCCACTCTTCTATGTTTCTTTGTATGTTTATGAAGATATTAGCACAGCATTCTTTTGTAAACAATATCAATTTAATGTTAGCTTAAAGCCAGTTTAAACCCATGCTTATGATTTTCAATTGCAATCTTCAGAGTGAAGAACTCAACAGTGAGATGGTATTCGGGTCTGAACAGATACAGTCAGTTTCTAGTGACCTTATTGAGCTGAAACGCAGAGTCCAAACACTAGAGATTGAGCTTCAAAGCCAATTAAGTGTGGTAAGTAATACATTTTTGGATATACTTTTGATATGGAGTTTCTGTGAGGAAAGGACCTCATTTGAAAGTTTGCCTATGGAATATATATAATGTATGAATTATACACCTATACAGGGATTAGCATTAGTCAATAGTCATGGTTCAGGACTTCTTGGAATAAAACATTATGCTGAATATCTTTCAGAAATTAGCTCTAGAGGACTCACTGGCCGAAACCGAAGCCTCTTACCAATCTCAGCTGGCCCAGTTACAATGTTTGATCAACAACATAGAGTCAGAGCTGGGACAAACACGATTTGACCTGGAACAGCAAAACACTGCTTATAAGATCCTCATGGACCAGAAGAACCACTTGGAGATGGAGATTGCCACCTACAAACATCTTCTAGAAGGGCATCACATCCAGTATGTATAAGAAAATAATAACAAAAATAATGATAAATGAATAATAACTGGGTAGGTATCTTGCTGCACTCCCTACTGTAAGAGTGGCTAACCTGTATATACAGGTGGGCGCTTGTAGTGACCACGGATGGCACCGTGAACAACACAGAAATAGCAAAGATATGACCAGCACACCAAAAAGATTTCAGCAAAAGTCCATTTAATGACAAATTGCCATTCTATTACAAGTGCTTTCGGGGCCTCAAGGGTTCCCCTTCATCAGGCTCAGAATGACAGGTCATGATCTGTCATTCCGACCTGATGAAGGGGTACCCTTAAGGCCCCAAAAGCGCTTGTAATTGAATGGCAATTTGTCATTAAATGGACTTTTGCTGAAATCTTTTTGGTGTGCTGGTGACATCATTGCTATTTCTGAATAATAACTGGGACACGATTAGATAGTATCAACTCAGTGTTACTCATGTAGTATGTAGATATCTTTGCAGTGTTGTGGCAGTGGTGTTTCATTAAAATGTATGTAAAGCCAAAACTTTTTTTTCGTTTTAGATAGAGTGATGAAAGGTTAGAATCCCTGTCAGATTTGTATTGCAGTCTATGTCCCTATTATGGAGATTTACCCTCTTTATTTTTATTGTGACCATTGTGACAGGTAAAGAAAGTGATGGAAGATCAAGGGATTTAAGGGGTCACCGGAACAAGAGAGGTCAAATCTTCCAGTTAGGACACTTCCACTGACTGTCCCATACATTGAAGACATTTTCTCTTACTTCCTGTTGTGACTACAGGACTTGAACTGAAGGGAAAATTCTTCAGCTTAAAAAACCCATCTGGAAAAAAATCTAACAGGAGTCCCTAACCATTCACTACTCTATATAAAGTAAAAAAAAACTAAAATATTTTCAAAAATAAGCTTCCATAATCCATAAACAATAGTAGATCAATCACTGTTTATTTGACATTAACATTGCGTACTTGATTTACAGATGTTAATTAACTCTCTCCGAAACAAGAGAAAAGTTTTGGCTTGAGTTCTGCTTTGAATGTTATAGGTCATGGAGCTGGGCATATTACCCTTATATCTTGAATCCCCCTATGGCAATCTTCAAAACATATTTGGAAGGGGTGCTAGAATATGTTGGTAGGCCAGTGGCTGCAGCTAAAAAGAAGTCTCTAAATATTTCACACCTACTACCAAACTTAACTGCTCTGATATGCCCTCACATCCCAATATTTGTACAAATGCCTATTTTCATTAGACTTCAGCTACAAGCTTGGAGAATTTTCAGTGAATATTTTTTTTTAATTCTAATAATAAAAGTAATGGTAATTTTTTTCTATTTTTCGACAGCGCTTCTGTTCACAGCAATAATACTGGTAAGATAATGAAAATAGCTTTTTAAACAATTCTATACAACAGGCAAAGAGATACAGTAAATGAAGATAGATGCAACATACTGTCCATGTACAAGAAAAGGAATTTCAGGGGCCTTTATTTATATGTGCCCCAGAAAGCGGCTATGCTGAATGAAGAGTAACTAAGACATATTATATGAATAGGTGATACTGAGTTGAGCCCCTTTAGGATTCAAAGAGTTTTTTTTATTAGGAAGGACCCACACTTATTGACTTTATACACAAAAAAGACTAAGCCATTTCAATGTGTAGTTATGACCCCCAAAAGAGCTACTAAGTTTAATCCCTCCCTGCCTTTCTACTGGTGCACTGGCCTACTCCTACTGGAGTTCACTTACCAACCCACTAGTGGTGACAGAATTCCTGAAAAAACACTCTGTCATCCTTTTCTTGCAGATTTTATTGGTTTAAAGTCCAAGAGGGAGAGGGATAACATTCACAGGGTAACCAACAGTGACAAAAATCCCTCATATAGGGAAATAACTTTAGCCTCTCTCACATGCCAAGGGTTTGACTTTAAACTGAGACTAGCAATTTTCCAATGTGTATCATTAAGCTGAGACCCGCAATTCTATGTGTGCGTTTAAGCAAAGACCGGCAATGGATTGCACAGACTGATTCCTGAAGGAGCTTCACTTAAATAGCCACCTTCCTGTCTTTCAGGTCCTAGCATAGGCCCACTACCAATTATTGTGGCCTGGCACTGTAACCTTTCCCTCCCCAGGCAGCAGGACTGGGAGGCAAAGGGTTTCTGTACTCTTCTACCCTCCTCAGGCAGCAGGATCTCCTACATTGGTATCTTCTCCAGGCAAAGCCTGGCAGTTAAGAACTCTTCTAGAAGGTTTGCCCAAATGATTATTCCCTTCTCCAGCCTACATAACTCTCAACAAAGCTCCTAGTGATTTGCCAGGTACAAATAAATATTTATAACCAATAACATTGTATCTTCTTGTTCTTTTCACTGGAGAACACTCACCAGGAGCAGGCAGAACTAAACAATGAATGCAGAAATCAATAACAACCATAGCTCAGGGTGGCTACAGCCTGGTTGCCCACTAATTTTGGACCAGGGGCATGCCAACTTTTGCAAAGCTGCTACATATGATTAAAGGAAGGACCTCCAATTAAAGTACAGCCTTTCTAATTCAATCAATGTTACTAATAGTAGTAGTGTAGTTCAGAAGCGTCATATTTAAAGTGTATGTAAACCCTAACAATGAACATCTCCTAATTGCTCCCTTTTGGTCTGTTAAATATACAATGTTCCATAGGTGCAAAATAATACATGTTGAGCTCTTAACCAGTGACCTCCTAACTTCCTGTGCTCTCTGCCTTTACTGAACTGAAATCTCAAGCAGTGCAATCAACACTGCCTAGTTCACCTTTGTGAACTACATATCACTTTCTCCCTGTGTCATAAAGGATCATAAGGTTAAAATAAAGGAACAAATGCCCAAAAAAGAAGAAAATCAGTGCAGCCACCACATGTAACTGGTAAAAGCAATATATGTTTTATTTTAGGGTTTATATACACTTTAAGTCCTACTCTAGTCCTGAAACCAGACATGCCCATGCAACCAAACACTTTCACAGCTTTCTTATCTAATCTTATTTTAGTAATAAAATAATCTTTTAGTAATAACTTAATACCTAGATCTGAAAGTAGAAGTCTAGGAAATGGCCTGGTGGGCCAGATTCGGCCCCTGGGCCTTGAGTTTGACACATGTGTAATACATTTTGGAAGTGTATGTTTTGGGAAGAGTAGTGTATTGTCACAATATCCGGAAATCCGTGCCTGATTTTCGCTTTGCTCCCTGTTTCTGGGCTGTCAGCCTATGGTGTCTCACAAGGCTGCAGCCAATCTGCTCTCCTTCTCCCCTATTTAGGACTTCCTCACTTGTTGCTCTTGGTGCGAGCAACAAGTCTTATGCCTTGTTCCGTACCCCTTGTGGCTCTGACTACCCCTGGGATCATATTCCCTGTGCTTGCTATTGGATCCCTGTGCCTTTTGGCTTCCCTCTACCAGCTGGTATCCTGTTTGGCGTTATCCCCTGCTTTGCTCCTTGCACCCCTACTATAGTATTTCAGTGGTTCCTTTAGTATATTGTTGCAGGCCTTAATTGCCTTCACCTGTGCGCCTCTCCAAACTGCCTTCATTGCTTTACTTCTACTGTGTTTTTCCCTCTCCAGTCTTTGTCTGTTTGCTTCCTCCTTATTACTGCTTGTTGTACTTCTACTCTGTCACTTACCTTCCAGTGTATCTTCCTTTGCTGTCACCCCTTTATTTCTGTGCTCCTCTCTTACCTGGTGGCTGTGTTGGATTCATCCTTGTCTGCACACCCCTGTGTGCATACATCCCTTTTGTGCTTCTTTGTGTACTTTTCTCTCTGTTATCCTGCTTCTTTGTATGCATGTGCCACGCACATCTCGTTTACTTTTGTACGTTGCACCTTCCTGCTCCTAGGTGTGCCTCTAAGCTGCTTACCCTTCCCTGGTGTCCTTGCTTATCTATTCTCTTCAGTATACTCTGCTGTTCTGCTGTGCGTTTGCACTTTTGCTTGAGACTTTCTCTCTCTCTCTCTCTCTCTCTCTCTCTTCCGGTCTTCCTCCTCCTTGGTTACAAGTTTCTTCCCTACCTGTTTGTATCCAGTTCCCCGCTGCTTCAACTAGTCCCTGGCGTCTGTGTGGGTGCGCTAGAGGGCCGCAACCTGGAAGGTGTCCAGCAGCCAATCATCCTCACCACTAGAGGCTCTGTCGAATACCTGGCCCTTCTTAGATTCTGCGCCTCTAGTGCGTCCTCAGAACGCACAGACCATTCGTTCCTCTCTCCCTGTGACCTACATCCCCCATATCCCGCCTCTTTGTGACTTCTACCAACTCCGCAAACACAGGAGCTCACGTACCCTGGTCCCTAGACCGTGACCTGTATCCTAATGAAATTTACTATATCATATGTTTTCTTTCAGAAATTCATCATGGTGTAAAAGTTCAGCTCACCAAAGGACAAGTTCATCAGGCAAATGTTCAGCTCACCAAAGCACAAGTTCATCAGGCTAAGTGTTAATACTCTTTTCACAGCTGAATAGAAGACCTCTGTTATGGATTTACGTTTACCAAAACTGGCCATATAGCCTTTTAAATTTTTTTTGTTCAGCCCCCAATTCCTCCATCCTCGCTAAACAGTGTGGATGGACGAATCTCTCCTGCCGGTCTATTGTATACTTATAGCCGGTGGCCATCACTTTCAGAAAATCCCAAACAGCGGCTGCAGCTGACTGCCATTAACGTCAGAGTGAAGCCTGAACCTTTGCTCAGTACAAAGATCAATCCCTTAGATAATATTAAATATTATTAAAGCCAACAAATCAGAATAACAGCCAGACAACTGATATTTTCAGGAGATATCAGAAATGGTAGCCCATATATTTCTCTCAGTAGAGGTGGACATAAGACCAAATGTTCAATCATCTTGTCACTACATTTTTTATTTTATCATTATCTAAAGCTCTGTTATAATACAAATCCTAATAAATGTCTTTCTTTCTCAAGCAAAAATGTTGTTGTGTGCATTCATTGTGCTTCACAGGAATCAGGGATGGATTTCAATTATGACCACTCCTAGAACACCTTTCTCTGCCATCCTCTATATGACCTTTAACGAAACAGTGCCTAGGGCTAATTATCATGTCATACAGGTGGTTCTATAGTTTGTGACATTTTGTCAAAGCCACGATTTTTAAAATTTGATAGATTTCATAAGATTGCAGCCACTTAACAGAATTAATCCTGCAAGCCACTTAAACCATCAGTCCAATCACAATGGAGTCGCTACCAAGTCCATGCAAGCAGGCATTACACGTATCATTCTCTTTCACTTGCACTTATGTTTTGGAGGCTTCCTCATGGGCGTTAAAGGTCAGAATGTCTTACTTTCAGTCCATCTGACAACCTCAAAGGCTGCATTTCCAGCACATTTCACCCAGCACTGCCAGCAGATGTCTTGTTAGTCCAGCAGACACAGCCAGCATTAATCTACCTTCCCTCTGATGTTCTCTCTCTCTGCTGGAATGTTCTTCCCATACGTTGTTTCCTCTGCTCTCAGCACAATGAGGGCAGCAGTTCCCTCTGGTATCTTCCCATTGTCACTCCTCCATTCAGGGTCACTTTTGTGTCTGTTTAAACTCTCCTGCCTGCAATCTCCGGCCTCCTGCAGCTCATGCGCACTTCACTGATGCCCAACACCTCGTCCTCTCTCTGGTACATCCACTTTAAAAGTTGGCTTTAAAAATTCCTATCTGGTAATGGGAAGCACATGACATATTTAATGGAAACAATTTAAACGAATAAATATTTCCATTCCAGAACGGTACCTATTAATCACTGCCTTCTGGTAATTATGTGATACAGTGTAGATAAATGCAGTAAACACGGTCCTATGGATTTTCTACAATCATAAAATTGATTTGTTCTCAGAATAAAAACCCTCCATAACAGCTAATCTAAGATACTTTACACTAACAGGCGTATCTAATACTACAAAGAGCAAAGTAGCAAAGAGCAAAGTACTATATGGGAAAAGCCCAAACAATTAACCATCTATTGTATTTCATTGCTCTGATTGTTTTACATGGATTAGATTGGTTCCTACCAATAACTGCACATTCCTCATATCTGCAGTAATATAATTAACTTACTATGTTGTCTTGTGTCTGTTTTCTCTCAGTATACTTTGGATTTATTAAGTATAAAATATTCAGCATATTAACATATTTGATCCTAATGTTAGATAGATGTTGATCTCAACTGGTAATCAGTGAGATGTAAATGTTGTTTTGAATGAGGTATTAAAAATGAGACGACATCCCTTACATTTCATGTATTATTATTAGTGGATTGCATAACATGGCACTACTTATTCAATCAGAACTATTACTTGTTGACCATAGCAACCACTCAGTATTTATGTTTCATTTTCAAACTTGAATGCCAAAATGTAGTGCTAGTAAAGCTAAACTGCATTTTAAAGACCACTCAAAAAAGGTGTGATGAGAAGTTAATATCCATACACAGGGCTATCCCTATGATGAGCATCTCATTGGGGGGTGGTCGGGCGGTGGTGAGGGCAGCAGGGGGCGGCCGCCCCTTCCCTCATGCTAAGAGCTCTTAGCAACCAGTGACACTCTGTGCGGCTTCCCCCCCAGCTCACTGATGCCACTGGTTGCCAGGAGCTGAGCTAGAGACTCTGGCTGCTGTTTAGCTGAGCTCCTGGCAACCAGAGACGTCAGTGAGCTTGGTAGGCGACAGAAAGAGCTGCTAACAGCGTGATACAGCATTAGCCCCTCCCTTCCCCGAACACAAATCAGCACAACAGCCCCCCTTCCCAGTGACCATTCTCTGCCAGCAATAATATACAGTAAATATAATAATAACAACAACAACAAAAAATCAGGGAAAGTTAAGCGTGCTTCCCCTAGAATTCCCTGCCCTTGGCTTTGATCAATACAGCATATCTACAAATGTTGTTTTGATCCTAGAGTAGACCTTTAGATGATGCCTGGTAATATAATGTGTTTGGACTTTAGTTTATATTTGATGTTATTGCATTCATTTTTAAGGAGAATTCATTCTTCTATCAAATTGCATGGCCCTACTTAAATAATCAGCTCAATCAATCAAGCTCTATCATGATTTCCTCCGGCTCCATCAGTCCATTGTGGGAGGTGGAGTTGTGCCCTAAACTTGGATGCCTTGGTTTTCAACAGGGGTCTAACGGCAGTTCCGTATGCTACATACTCTAGGTGGTGCAGGCAAAGTAGGGCTAAGCAAGGCTCCCCATCAAATTTATGTTTACTACAAGGGATGAGCAAAATTAAGAGTTTTCATATTTCCAAACCTTTGGCGGCTATTTTGGCAGCTTATAGTGTTTTTGCAGTTTCAGTTAACTTTCAAATCCAAACAAAGTCTCATTTTTTTCATAAATATGTTTTATTTTAATTATTTGGAGATTATTTTCCAAAGAATTACATATAGGTACACTATAAAAGAAGTGGGAAACATGAGCAACAGGATATAACGGGGGAATATAGAAATTGGGAAAAGAGGAGCTCATAGCAAAGTACTAAATAATGAAGCTAAACTTCAGAGTCATGTGATATCTGCAGCCCACAAAAGTGGTAAGGCCTTACAACCCAGGTCCAAATTATAGACAGAAGATAGGGTGGCAAGGTTCCCCAGATGAGGTCCTCCTTGATATCCTATGAAGAGATTTCTGTTCTCACTTAATAGTGATATGTGGAAGTCTGTGGCCTGTCGAGAGAGGTAGTATGTAGCAGGTACCTGGTATTTTCCCAATGTCCCTTCTCCAAGTAAAGAAGCTCCTTTTAACTGTCCTGGGCATGTTCATGTGTGAAAAACTGGCCCCTTGTTAGCCTCACTATTTTATGTTTTATTCACATAAAGAAATAAAAGCAGAAAAGTAAACGACAGTACACCACTAACAGCCAAGCGCACGCACACACACAAGCAAAGAACACAGAGAAATAAGCTAAACTACCTTGAATACACTCCTACCACACAAATCTGCAATAAATATGAAAAAAATAAGTGAATTTTTATTTTATTAGCCAGTTTGTCTTCATGACCAAAATTAGGTAATTTCACTGCAAAATTTATTGAGCTGAAAATACTTCACTCTAACCATTACCTTCAAATATCTTTATGTACTTCACCCTAATCGGTACTAAGACAACGGAAACAGTAAGGGATATTGCAGAGGCGGCAACCATGGAAGAAGTAGTATTTGCCATTTACCTGTTGGCTCTGGGGTAATCTATGGAATATCTAGACATGAAGGTACCTAGAAGTGCCAAATATATAAGGCAAGTGCCAGTTTGCTATTCATTTTCTGGGGTGATCTATGGGATATCTAGAGATGAAGGCACCTAGAAGTGCCAAATATATAAGGCAAGTGCCAGTGTGCCATTTCATTTTAGTCCACAGGTACAACTGAAGGTAAGTTGGGCATACATTCCTTAATAGCATAAGCAGACCACTGATTCATTTTCATGGTTTGCCTGGAGAGATGTTATTTAATAAAGCAATGATGAATGATGTGAAGTCAATAGCCTCAGCTTGGCTTTATGCTTGTAAAATGTATATAATGCAATAGATGTTTAGCAATTACTGTTGGGCCTCTGCAAGCCGTGTCTAAAATAGCTTAGAGCTGCATGAGCCTCACCTGACGCTGGCAGACTACTATTATTCTAAACAGGGATATTGCCTTTTCTTTTCACTTTAGGTGATATTAATAAAATTGTCCAATTGCAAACAAGAACTTGGTCCATGATTTTCTGGAGAGAAAGAATGCTTAAAGATTAAAGATAAGGTAATATAACTCTAAAGAAAGACCAGAGGGAATAAAATTACCAGGGGAACTACATGACTGGGGGAGGAATAGTCCCAAGAAAGAGTTAAAATGTATAAAGGACAATGTAGGTACAAGAGGCTTTACCTGACTGGTGGTTGATGGTCAAGTGGTTGGGAAGAGTTGCAGGGGTAGGATCTGTGGTGATTAATGTGAAAGGGATGAGAGAACGTTGTCTGCCCACTCTCCCTCATCAAATGTGTCAGATTATAACAAGATTTGTCATGGCAGCTTGTCATTGCTTCTCCTGCACATACGAGTTGCGATGCCGATCTGCCCTGGAACAGCTGACAAAGCGTTGGAATGCTTCACCTATTGGCGGTCACACATTCCCCCGCCGAAACACTGGGCGGGATTATGTTAAAATGTGTGACCATGTCACCGGTCACACATTCTAACGTAGTAACAAACTTTGAAAGAACAGAGGCCCTGTCTGCATTCATTTAATCAGAGAAATATATTATAATAGGAAACATTACAGTGTAATGTTCCCCATTATAATCCACTTGTCTAATTAAATATCGGTGCAGCCGCTGCACCGGCGGTATTTCCACCCCTGATTCTGAATATTAATTTCTGCTTGCATTTCATATTTATATTATGGCCACATTTAGACAGTAATGAATAGCTGAATGTAGTTACCTACTCAAATTAAAAAATAAAATTTTCCCAAGATACACTTAAAACACTGGCAGAACTACCAGGGTCGCAGAGGTTGCAATTGTGTCCGGGCCCTGGTGTTCCCCCAGTTGGGGGGGGGGGAGATCAGAGAGAAAGGAGAGGGCCCGCAGGTCCCTCATGCCACCCACAACATTTGTGAAACTAAGGAGTGTGGCAGACGCTGTGTGGCATTTCCCAGTAGGCAACGCGGTGAGGGAGGTGAAAGATACAGACTGGAGGTCCAGGCAGTGTGACCTTTGAAGAGAGGTGCGGTAATCCGCTGGCACGAACAGAGAGCAGATACCAAGAGTAGTTGATACTAGGTCATATCTATAAAAAATAAGTCAAGGCAACTGGACTTGCTGTATTTTTCTTGAAGGCGTTTCACTGGTCATCTAACCAGCTTTCTCAATACAGAATGACTTGTACAAAAAATGATCTGGGAATAATTATGGTGAATGTTGCTCCAATCCACATAATCTGTTAGTCGCAACCATGTGTTGATTGCATTCGCATAATTGGAGTCTAAGAGGTGTTATTAACCCCCCCTTCACCTCTATTCAAGCTTAGCTTCTCCATTCTCAAGCTCCAGCTTCTCCAAGCTTGATTAGAGGTGGGAAGGGGGAAGGGGGGTTGACATATATTGCCTGCCACATACAATGCTGTTTTAACACCTCTCTCTTGCAAAGTAACAGTTTTCCTGTGTGGCTTATCCTTCGATGATTGGGGGGTTTCTCTAGTAATAAGAGAATATGTTGGCATGTGTGGCATAATATTGCAGAGTTTAACAGTTGACTACAAATGTTAGACATTGATCACTCCATACACATCAATAAAGAATGCCTTATGTGAAAGTTATCTGAATTATTCAGTTGGAGAAAGGGATTGACAGTGACTACGGAGAGGTCGTAAAGGGCAGTAATGGTTGGGGCAAAAAAATGTTTTTCCAGTATCAGGAGTAGGGTTGGGCTCGAATATCGCTAGTTCATGCGTACGCCGAACACACGAACTATAAGGGCGTTTAGCAGTCTTTTCGACCACTGAACACCCCACAAGCCAATGCGCCTTATGAAGCCCTAATTGGGTAAAGGCTTGCACCTGACCACAGGTCAGGTGCAAGCCTTTGCCCAATCAGGGCACAGAGAACAGTGAGAGCCATGATTGGGCAAAGTCATGATGACTCTGCTCAAATGATGGCTCACCCTGTTACAACGGTAAACAGTTGTGCGGAGCTAGCTGTCACTGCTAGCTCTACCCAAATGTTTATATGTTACCGGCATCTGTCAAAATGCCATTATGCACTGGGTGTTCGTCGCGAGTGAATGGGATAGCAGACGTCGTTTAAAAAAAAAAAATATTTCTCCTTTATTTTTCACTGTTTTTTATTTTTTATGTCGTCATCGTCGTGGACATTGCTAGACGACGTGATTGGCGTTGCATTACATCGGTGGATCAATTTGTGGGTTTTTTTTTAAATAAAAGATGTCAAAAACCTGTCTTTTGTTTTTTTTCCAAATAAAGGACTTTTTGAAAAGTCTGAACTTTTTAGTTATAATTTTATTTAACCCTTTAGTGAATGGGAGACCCTGGAAAAGCACCCTCCCGGTGCCAAGGGCATGTGGCCTGGTATGGGGGGGGGGGGGGTGC